CTGCACGATAAACGTGGCCAGTGTTAGGAATCTCAAAGGCCGTGCGTGTTTCTCCGCTAACGATCAACAAGTCCAAGCAACAGATGCCGCCACAGTAGACCGGCGCGCTCATTTATGCGATTGTAATCGCGTGTGACACAGTTGTGGTGGTCTCCACTGGAGGTCAGTGGTGGTTTCCGACCTTCCATTGCGTCAAAAAGTCCGGAAAATTGGACTCCGGGGGGTTCGAGCGTCCGAAATTTCAGACTTCCTTATACATTGATTCTATGGGGTTCGTGGCGGTGCCACGAAGATGTCCGAAAATTCAGGTGCATGAAAAATCGGCACTTGACTGTAACTCAATTTTCTGAAACAAATGCCTAATTCCCAGAAAGCTTACGAATAAATGTTACGAAATTTACGAAAAAAAACTTTTTTTGTTTGTTGACTTAGAGTAATGAAATTTGGCAGGCATACTGAAGAGTGTCTCAAATAGTTATATATGAAGTTTCTTTGCAATATCTAAAAAAGGTTTGAAGTTACACTACGTTACATAATCTGATGACATAGTCTGCTGGTGAAAAGCCTAGCATTGTAACAAAACATGCCAGGAAGGTATAACTCGTTTTGATCTTTACTGAAAAGAACATTACACAGGATGGCATTATCGAAAATTGCCTATTCCTTTAGGTTTTTTTTACAAATAACATCCCCATCAGCTTCATGTATTGCATCAGAGCTTTTCATGCAGTATTTCTCACAGACAAAAAAAAACTAGATCGTAAGCAAGGCAGTGAATAATGCTGTCCTGTCATCATCAGCCTGACTATGACCACTGCAGGACAAAGGCCTCTTTCATGTACTGCCAGTCAACTCGGTCGTGTGCTTGCCGCTGCCACTTTATACCCGCAAACTTCTTAATTTCATCTGCCTACCTAACCTTCTGTCTCCCCCTAACCCACTTGTCTTCTCTGGGCACCCAGTTAGTTACTCCTAATGACTAGCGCTTATCCTGTCTACGCGCTACATGCTTGGCCCATGTCCATTTCCTCATCTTGATTTGAACTATGATATCCTTAACCCCAGTTTGTTCCCTAATTTACCCTGCTATTTTCTTGTCTCTCGGTTCTCTTCTTGTCAACAACGCCTCAAAAAAAAAAAAAAACAGCATCAAAATCGGTGCAGTCACTGCCAGGCTAAGCTTTTTACAAGCAACACTAAGTGCCCAAAACACACTTCAGAATGCCTGCATGACATTGCGTTTGACGTCATCGACAGCTGCAGAACTCGCTGCCATACGTGCAGCTCTGTAGTTTATAGTTGAAGAACCTTCGGGAACTTGGTCTATCTTCTCGGACTCGAAGGCAGCTCTTCAATGTCTCTCTCTCTTTATTCACAACTTTTCTTTTTATCATCTTTTATTCCCCTCACCCCTTTCCCCAGCACAGGGTAGCCAGCCGGTCTAAGAACTGGCTAACCTCCCCGTCCTTCCGCCTAAACTTTCCTCCTCCTCCTGCTGCAGGTGACCTTTTGATCCTCTGCTTCTTCACCTTGTGCATGTTTGATGATTTTTTAGCGTGCTGGATTGCTGGATGTCTTTTTCTGCAACTCTCTGGAGGGTGACAGTGCAGTGGAAATCTCGGTGTAAGCTTGCAAGCTGCCTGCATTATAGTTTGCTACTGCTTCATGCACTGCTGCTTCCTTAGTGAAGAGGGAGGCATGCTGCTGCTTAAATATTAGTGACCAAATCACCGAAAAGAGGCTCTGAGCAGCATTTTGAGTTTTGCTGCCGCTACATCGAGCCAACAGATGAGGGTCGGAAAGGCGTTGATAGATGGGCTACAGTGCTTTTAAAACTTTGCTCATTCATCACTGCCCAGAAGTCAATTATAGCAGTAGGTCCTTTTCCAATGCTCCTGACTACCTGCACTGATCTAACATTTATATCAAAGACTCTCGCACCTTCTTTTCTCTTTGACGACCAGTGAGAGCTGGCTGTGCCACAAGAACGACATGTTAGCACCATTTTCACGGCAAGTCCAAACCTTGTTTCCCAGTTCACAGCTAGATCTTGCTCATGGCAAATTGGGCAGAGTGTTTTCCAAATCATCACGTTCAAAGCGGCCATCTTAAAAAGCATGTATTCTTCTTCTGCCGCAGACATCGCTTCACAATCCTGAGATGCAGCCAATGCGAATTTCCGCTCACTTGCCGGCATTGTGCCAAGCAACTCGCAAACTGTTCAACTGTGCCTCTGCCGTTTCGGTGAACAAAAAGCTTGGTTGAATATGTCCTTGAATCGTAAAACACTCGCCTAGAAAGGTCTTGTTACCACTACGCTGATTGACAGCGTCTGCCGACGCACCTGTCATTTCCCCATCGATCGTTTCACCGTCAGCTTGAACAGCCCGATCCCGGTTAGGCGAACATGCAGCCACATGTTAATGTGTATTAACATCGATAAGCAAGCCTTCTGTGGATGACTCGGACACACAACTGCATTGCACCACCTCTGCATTGTCCGCTGGGTCGCAATAGCTTGCTGACAGCCGAGGATCCAGGGTGACTTCGTTATTGCCAACTGACTGCCAACTTGCTGGGGGCTTCCGCAAAAGCCGTGGAATAGTTGGTTGACACTTTCATTTGCCGAAAGCCAGTGCAGTCGCGCGTTTCCTGTGAAATGTGTGATCCATCGCCAGAAATCACGTCTAAAACTTTCGAAGAGCCTCCTTGGCACAATGAGCTGCATCAGTCGTGCGTCCACCAACTTGTGACTGTCCGAGCAGAAGGCACGGGAAACTCCACGATCGGGGGGCTGCGCAAAACTATCATCTCGTAAAGACAGTTTGCACGACAGTGCCCACGCTGATCGCAAAAGACGAAGAAGCACACAGGAAACGTTTGCAACAAAGGAGTCAAAGCAGATAACGAAGCGCGCGGGCGCCGGGCGGCGGCTGCACCATGCGTGGGAGATGAGCACGTTAGCGCGCGCATCATCCAATAGCAACCACTCGTTTCCCCTCGCCCTGAAGGTGCACACGCTCTGTCCAATTGTAGCTCCATGTTTGAAAAGCAAGAAACTTGGTGCCCCGCGAGCTAGCCAATTGCAAGCCAGTTACGCCTCAACCATCCCACTGTTGTCGCCGCTGATGGTGGAGGAAAAAAAAAGAGCGAGAAACCACAAAAAAAAAAAACGTGAACAAGATGGCGGCGCTCGGTTGAGCAGGGGAGAAACGACGTTCGTGCGAAAATTAAGTATTTTTGATGATCTTTGAGCTCTTCAGGTGTGTTCGGCTTGCTAAATAGTTTATTTGAGGTACTTTTAACACGAACTCGGCGCTGATATTTACAGAGGATGTAGCTTATAATAGATTATACTGGCCAAATATACTGTTTTCTGCAAATGAATTTTTTACTTTTCCTTCTGGCTTTCGAAGGCCGAGTCACCCCATAAACACACAGTACCTGCTACATCTGAAGGGACACTATGGAGAAAAAAGAATTTTCGTGTATTAGTAAAGTAAAATTTAGCAATTCTGGAGACACCGCTCTTAACGAGAGACAAAGCATGAGAAAATGCTGGAAAGAAATTGTGGGTGGAGACACCATTTTGAGATTCTTGCACCAAACATCGTGACATCATAGATTTTGAAGGGGTCGACTAGGTCCTATGTAGTTGGCAGTTGATAAAAATGAAGCACATTGCCATGTGAGGGTGCTGTAGACCTAGCATATGAAGTTTCTGAACTTCTTATGCACCCAGGACTACAGCAAAAGTTTTGTGACATGTTGCAAAAATACATTTTGACATTAGTGGCATCACACGGAGATGTCTCGGCACGAAATTGCAAAAATGAAACTTCAACTTTGATTTACTCCACTAATATAATGAACTTATGATAGCAAAAAATTTGGCATTACGAGTTTCCAGAATACAGTTTATCAATCTAAACCAAGTCATTGTTGGTCTTTAGTGTCCCTTTATTGCAGTGAATTGAGTCATTGAAAACATGCTGGAAACTGAAGCATTGTTCATAAATTCATCAAGAAAAGCCTCCGCAATGGTTAGCATAATTGAAATAAATTTTTTTCATTTCCATCATGTTATTAAAAAATCCACAGACAGGGGTTGTGTGCTTGTGTTGTGTGTTCTTTGTAATAGTGGCTGCGCTTCCTAGTAAGATGGATCCTTACCAACTGGCCCGATACAATTGTTTATTGTGTGCTTGAGGTTCGGCAAGTGCACTTGTCTTCTCCAAAGAACCGATAAATGTGGGCGAACACATATACCTGAAGTAACATCTTTTGTGTTAGTATTGCACCTTTATGTAGGCATTTTGTACAGTACTGCCAGATACAAGAGCAACAAATTTTTTTAGCATAATGACAGGTACACTCGAGACAACCACGTCGTGTTGCGACAAATCTGGTCTAAGCATTATGATCTGCGCTTTCTAGTTGAAATCACGCTGATATCTCTCGAACTGAAGAGAATGGAAATGAAAGTATCTGCATTGCTCAGTCCTGAATGTCTGAGCTTCATTTGTCCCATTTAAATCCATGAGACTACACATTGCCATCGTTTTATGCTGGTAAACTTTTACTTGGTGTGCTATTCCTTCAGTGTTTCTTCTTTTGTGCTTGCTAAAATGCACAAGTTCAGCTACCATCAACTAGCGCAAACTTCCACATTGAACCTTAATAAGAACCAATAAACAATCAACAAACAAGGAAAGTAATTTATGGTAATTATATCATAAATGCAAAGAACTTAAAGTGTATGAAAAAGACGCCAGCGGGGACCAAGCTTGAAATAATGCTTCAACAACTGAGCTACGGCTGCGATCGTGCTCTTATCAACTTTATCAGGAATTTGTGTGAACGCAAAACTGGTTGCGTTAGCAAAAAGCACAGCGAAAAGCATTAGACTTTGTGGAGAAACAGCAGAAATAATTGCAGCCTCTTGTATCTGGTTGGCGAGTGTCTCAGATACAACTTTTCCAACGAGGAAACCTGCTCACCTGCACAGCTCATTTCGTTTGTCGGCCACCATATTCCAGTTCTGCTGGTCAACGGACACCTCGACGTAATAGCTGTACTGGCGTGAGTCACAGTCCCACAGTAGGAGCCTGCAATTCAAAAGAAACAACAACTTCATAACAACAAGTGTAGTGTTATCTCCATTGACATGCATCACCATCGTCACCTTAATTTCTTAGCAACTGCGCTGCCCTTCTCGCACTGCTCATGCTGGGAGCTCGAGGTGTGTGTGCAGTAACTGGCTGCCCCTGGCAAGCCAGATGCAAGCAGCCACCATCACTCAGCTTTGGCCCTATACAATGAAGTGGCGAGAGCGGCACATCGCCTATCTGCCTCTCACTACATTATCCTCAGAAGTACTTGCTGTCAGGCTAGTCAGTTCATACATACATAATGACTAAAAACTATGGTCACTTAACGCAAAACGATGAAGGGGAGAAATGTGGGTGCTAACTTTAGACTGATTTATTGCAATAATGTACTAATTTACTAATAATACACAGTAATGTATTGCAATACCTCACACGCCTCACTCGCAAAAATGTGTGGATAAATAAAGATGCTCACCCAACAGCCTATGCTTCAGTTTCGGTTCAATAACCGTTTGTCGCTCATGTCGATGTTTACAAAAATATATCTGCTTTAGTAGTTCATGAATTTCGTCATTAGAGCACAAGAAACCACCCCTATAAAATGGTGTCAGAGCCCACGCATCCATGGCAGCTCCCTCCCAATCATAAGTCAATGCTCCTGCATGTTGTACGTGTTTCTTTGGGAGTATGTACTTGCATACAAAAGTAATTTTAAGACTTGGAAAAGCATGTACCACTAAAAAATTAGTCATTCTTACTGCACACGTTGCCTACCCATGCGTGATAAAGTTACACATATCTTTGTGTGGGCTGAACTTTTGTCTCCAAGAAATACATGCAGAGCACTGCAGATTGGTGCGTTCGCACGCTGTTGTGCCTGTGCAGTCTCTTACTTTACTGTGAATAACTGTCTTGGCACCTTATTGAGATTTCATCGGTAGGTGTTTGCAGGTGCTGTGTAATGTGAAATGTATGCAAAGTAAAGTAGTAATGTATGAATTGCGATCACCGTTTTTTGCCAGAAAATATTAACTTGGTGAATGTGTGTGCCAATCTGCATTACATTGAAAACAGATTCTTTTTTTTTGTTTTCATAGATGTACAATTGTGCCAATGATTATGCCAATGATTATGTAGGCAAGATGAATTACATTGAAGGCTCAAATTGTGAAAGTTTGCTTACTTTCAGAACCACAATTGTGGGTGCAGAATACATTTTTTGTGTTGACATAGAAGAATTTTCCTGCCAGAAAATGAAGATCACACAAAAGAAATACTTAGGCTCTTTATTCCTTGTGTCAGAATCAAGTAGCTACAACAAAGACAAATGATAGACATTCAAATTCATGATTTGCGCCAAGTAACGATGAAAACTGCAATCAGAAAGAGGAGTGATTATGTAGCCGACTAATTGAATGTCTGCTTTATAATTTTTCTTTTTTTTTTAGTTGTGTAAATATGTGTATTACTTCGTGTGTAACACACATATGTATGCATATGTGAATATGCATGTATATATATTCCTATAAAGGTATATATGTGTGTGTATGTGAATATATATATGCTCTGTTAACCAGGCCCGTAACTAGGGGGGGGTGAGAGGGTTCTGACCCCCCCCCCCCCACGAAATTTTTTGGATGCTTTAACTTTTCGGGTGATACTAAAATATTTACACGCCTTCACAGCGACCACCAGCTGCCAAACTACACTGCAACTTTCCTGGCACTGCTTCCCTCTTCTTCCTTTCTTCAAACCTACCCTTATACCAGAACACCTCAGCGCTCCCTTCCCCCCACGCGCACCTGCCCTATTTGTACAGCTTTGCACTTCGCCCTCGCGTTCCTTGGAGTCTTTTTTTTTTTTTCGTCTTTCACACCGTAGCAGCTCCTTTATTGATTCCAGATGCTTTCCTTGTGCATTGCCGCTGGAGAAGTTATCCGTCTGTGCGGACCGCACATGTCGGCTTTGGGTTCCTACGAAAAGCGCGTCTACTTCTGTGAAGGTAAACAGTTCGACAGCAACGGCAACACCAACACGACGTGCACAAATTTTCCAGGGAACGAAACCCCTAAGCGGAAAAACTCAGCGGCGCATTCCGAGGACGCAGGCTGCAGGGCAAACGTTTCTCAAACTGTAGTCCTCACCACCGAAACGAATCATCGAAGATGACATCTACTGAAAGACTAGCATATCCGAGCAACTTCGAACAACCTTAACCACACGCAAGGAAATCTACCTTTTCTGTACACAGAAGGTATATGCGCCTTCATACAAAGCGCACAAAGCGAGGATACAGCCGGCACACAATCCGGCACCAGTGGTCAACTTTCACAGGAGAAAAAAAACGCCGCCAAGCTGGGCTGCGCGCGGGAGTACAGAGGCTGACGTCACAGCCTACAAAGTGCATTTTTGGGGGGGGGGGGTCACGGCTATTTAATTAGTGCAGCCCAGAGAGAATTATGCAGGTGCCCAGGGAGCCGTCTGTGAAAAGGTGACTTTTTCACAGGAACGGAGCAACACCTCCTTTCTGGACTGTACCACGGGAGTGTAAATGTCTTGGCAGTGCATTCTTGGGAGTTCACGTATATTAAGGGGAGTATGCAGTGCCCATGGAGTCTTCTGTGAAAAGGTCTTTAAGTAGCCTTAATCCAGTTTGCTGCAGCTGGAGTACAATAATGGGCCTGCATGCACACCAGCTGCAGCGGCGTCCAGAAAACACATGCGCCACGCAGGAGCCGGCGCGTTCATCACACTTCTACATTCTAGCCACTGTAAAGTGGATAAGAGAGGAAGAAAACATCGCCCGCCGCTCACGCCAGGCAGTCGAAACAGTCGCAAACGTCTTTTTGGAGCCACTGGCCACTTCTGTGTGCGTGCACAGGATTGCGGCAGCAAAATGAAAAGACACTCTGCAACAACGAAGCAAAGGAGTCTTGCGTCTTACTTCAAGAAAGTTCGAACCGATGAAGCGGACGGAGAAGAATCGCCTTCTTCGAAGGATAAAACTTCGCCCTCCTCAGCACTGGTGGAAAGCCAAGCGCGTCCAAACTTCTGTAGCGACTATGGAGAATGCACCGGTTTATATGAATCACCTGAGAACGAACACAAGCAGGACACCCATGGGCCGTTGGGAAATGATGGTGGCCGCAGTGCAACTCCAAGTGATCTTTGTTCTACAGTCAACGCTGGGCAAAGTGACGCCTTTACCACTGGGCAATGCCCAAGGAAGGTGAGTGGCATGGCACCTACACAATCTGGTTCGCCTCCCCTCTGTGCGACGAGTGCGAATATTTTCGACTTGGGACTGTTTGTCTCGAAATGCAATAATCTAAATGATCCAGAGACGATGGAGAAGCTGCTGCTCAATCCGTGAACCCCCCCGGCTAACTATGATTATCAAGCCACAGGGAAAAGGAATCTGAAGTTCCAACCTCACTGGGTAGATCGTTACCCATGGCTTGTTTATTCAGAGAAGCTTCAAGGAGCATTATGCAAATATTGCGTAGTCTTCGCAAGCGAGTGTGCAGGAAAAGGGGAGCACCAGCGCTTGGGCTGTTTTGCAACTAAGGAGTTCACCAATTACAAGAAAGCCATGGACGCCTTTAAGAGCCACGCATCCAGCAGTTATCACGCCATGTCAACAACGCTATCGGAGAACTTTTTAGCAGTCCGGTCCCGCTCACAGCATGATATCTTAACACAACTTGACCACGGCCTTAAAAAGCAGGCGGAAGAAAACCGCAAGAACTTGCTGCCAATAATAGAAACAATCCTTTTCTGTGGCAGGCAAGAAGTACCGCTTCGCGGCACAGACGACTCTGGTCCGATAAATATGTCTGTAGTGCTGCCATTCAGAAATGATGGAAATTTCCGCGCACTGCTTAGGATGAGAGCAAAATGTGGAGATGCCGCCTTGAGAGCTCACATGGAAACATCTCCGGCGAATGCGCTGTACACGAGCCCAAAAATTCAAGATGAGTTGATCACCCTCTGTGGTAAAATCATACAAAGAAAGATAGTGGAAAACGTCAACTCAGGTTCGTGTTTTTCAGTTCTAGCTGACGAGGCCACTGATATATCTCGCACTGCCCACATTTCCCTATGTGTAAGGTACGCTGGACACGACACGTCAGGAGTGCCCATTCTTAAAGAAGATTTTGTAGATTTCGTTCCCGTGTACGATCTCACTGGCAAGGTGCTGGCGAGCACAATCCTGAACAGCCTTAGAGGTCACGGCTTTGACCTGAACCTACTTTGCGGGCAAGGATACGACGGCGCGGCATCAATGAGCGGCCACCTTAACGGTGTTCAAGCCTTCATTCGTCAAACAGCGCCCAAAGCGTTATATGTGCATTGTAGCGCCCACTCGTTGAACCTTGCTCTGCTTCACGCATGCAAACTCCCCAGCATCCACAACTTTTTGGGAACTGTATCCTCAACCTGTACGTTTGTGAGAGCTTCGCCACAGAGGACGAACCAACTGCGAGACAAAGTAGAAGATTTAACAAAAAAAAAAAAAAAATCAGTTCTCTCCTTTTGCCAAACAAGGTGGGTAAAGAGTCACGATGAACTTCAGGGTTTCTTTGAACTGTACGTGCCTATTGTACAATTCCTCGAATATTTGGAAGAAGAGGCCGCGTCATCTGATACTTCATCAAAAGCTTCTCAACTGCTCAATGCCATTACGAAGCCCGAGTTTGTCGTTTCGCTTCAGATCTATAGCGACCTCTTCTCTTTGACACTGCCACTTTGAAAGTTTCTTCAAAAAATTGACTGTGACTCGGCTCAAGCATGCGATCATGTAAAGAATGTTATAGACGTTCTTTCCACAAAATGGGCTAGTGCGGAAACGGAATTTAATAAGATTTTTCTGAAGTCGCTCTCTTTGCTGAAGATCACAAATGTTGAGATGGCCCTACCACGCATCACTGGAAGGCAGATGCAAAGAAGCAACGTACCTTCTGCTACTCCCGAAGAGTACTACCGGAGGAATGCGT